AGTTTAGGGTATGTGAGTTGGGTCTTCTTCCCTTTAATGCCTGCACGTCCTGCCCAGGCTGGCCGAGGGCCTGGTTCTGGTTCTATTGTGAGCCCTTCCTTCCTCCTCCCACCATGGATCAGGCCCAGAGTTGCTTTTCCTCAAAACACGAGCTTTGCAGGATGTCCTACTCTTCTGTGGAGGGCTTCCCGGGAGAGGAATTAGCCAGACCCAGGCCCTTCCGATCCTCTCAGATGGTGCAGACACTCCTACCATCAGAAAACAGTCGTCTTGCCAAGCTGCTAATGGGGTGAGGGCGAGAGCGCCTCTTGCAGCCGCCGCGGACGAGCCAGGCTGGCTGGAACAATATGCTCTATGACGCAGACCGTCTTTTATGGTCGGGGCTGGTTGTCCCAGACACATAGCAAGCTTTTTATTATTCCTGAGATTTCCTATTTGTTTATGGTGCTGGCAGAGAGAGCTCTCTGAGGGGACTTGAAGACCAGTTTTAGGACCCGTTGTGAATTGGTTTTCTGAACAGCTCAGTCAGGACTCAGCTGCTGCGGGCACAGACACATCTCAGGGGACCTAACAAACCCTCGCATGCTGCTGGCTGAGGGCGCTGGCTATGTGCTTTCTGGGATCAGGGAGAGACCCCATCCTGGTGACCTGTGTTACTGTTCACATTGAACGGACGAGAAAACGGAGGCCACCAGCTGGTGAGTGGCAGAGTGGCACCTGAAACAGGAATTTTTTACTGCAAATCTTGGGTCATCTGCTCCAGCCAAGACTGGGGTTAAACTCAGAGTAGTGGGCACCTCCTGGGGCCCTGGGGGGCTAGGGATTGCTCTGAGGGCCGCTGTTCAGAGGCAGCACACAGCGGGGAGCCGAGCATCAGGAGACCTGGGTTCTGGCCCGGCTTAGCCACTCACAGCGGTGTGACTTCGGCTCTGGACTGACCGAGTTTCCCCACGTGTAAAATGGAAGTCGGGTGCATGTTCTCTAACGTGACTGCTGACTCTGGCATTTGACCGTTCTGCATGAGTGCTGAGCGGATGGTCAAGAAGTGCTCACGCTTGGATCAAAGATGGTGATGAAAGGTGGTGCCCGGAGGTGCCCAGCCCCACTAAATGGAGGGGCTTTGAGGAGGAAAAGTGGAGGTGCTGGAGGGTAGGGGGTCAGGGAGAAGGAATTCTCTAGGCTCGGGAGGCCAATGTTTCTGCCTCAGGGGCCGGAGGACCCTCTGCTCTGTGCCCCACCCATGGGGCCGTGTCATGTGATCTGTGGCCACATCATCCCTGAGCCTGTTTCCTCATCGGTGTTGTGAGGTTCAGCAATGACGTATGAAGTGCTGAACAATACCTGGCACACACAAAGGGCTTAATACGGAACCCTATTTCCCCTTTAATTTAGTTACAACCTCAGTGCACAGACAGCGCGTCCCTTGTTCAAATTCTGCCTAACTGCAGAGGGCGAGACTTCCCTAAGACCACGGTTCCCTGCACTCCCCGACCCTGCCGGACTCCCAGCTCTTCCTGGTGTCTGGCCTTGGTGTGTCCTGCCGCCCGTCCCCTGGCAGGGTTACCTGAGCGGTCGTACGACTCGTGGCACGTCTTAGTGATCTGGGCTGCGAGCTCTCGGTAGTGGGCCCTCTTGTCCTCCTCGGCGTCCTCGGCACCCAGGGCGATCATGCCCCCGGAGAAACAGGCCAGGTGCCCCATCTTGTGGTCCAGGTTCCCCCCGCGCCACTCGGCAATGTAGGTCAGCCCCCCGGGAGACACATTCACCAAGTGGGTCTCAATTGCCTGGGAGCAAGGTGGGAATTGGGCAGGGAGAGGGGTGTGGGAGGGCACAGGGAAGGAGCAGAGAGGACAGAAAGTGAGTATTTTGGAGACAGCAGCAAATGCAGCTCTACCGAGCCCTCTGTCCCAGGCCAAGGGGGCCCACTGACCTCAGCCGGCCGCTGCCCACTGGAGCACGTGGGAGCTCTGCCGCTCGCCCAGCTAAGGCCTGGAGCCTGCTGGGGCTCGGACATAAGGTAGCACCCCAGGGTGAGTCTCACACAGATTGAAAATCTACATACAAAAAATTTCAAAAAATCTTTAAGAATTACTACCCTCTTTGGTTAGGGAATCTTAACCTGTGGATGGGCTTCAGGTTGTCACAAATGCCCCTAAAACTGTACACGGCACTTTTGTGTATGTGCATTTTCTTTTTCTTAAAAATTGGTTTTTATTGATTTTAGAGAGAGAGGAAAGGAGAAGAGGGAGAGAGAAACATCGATGTGAGAGGAAAACATCGATCAGCTGCCTCCTGCATGCCCCTACTGGGGATCGAGTCCGCAACCCAGGCATGTGCCCTGGCTGGGAACTGAGTTGTGACCTTTTGGTGCATAGGATGACGCTGAACCTACTGAGCCACACCGGCCAGGGCTGTATGTGCATTTTCATGGGACAAGGGCCCATATATTTCATCAGATTCTAAAATAGACAAAACAAAACCCAGAGAAATTGAGAGGTGCTCTCTACTGCCCCTCATTACACGCCTTCCCATGTAATGCCCAGGACAAGTCGGGTACGTAGTCTGCAGTGCTCTCCACAAGAGGCCGGGTGCCTTGTCCCCGGTCATGCAGTCAGACCAGGACTGGGACAAGGACCCCCCGATGCCCAAGATTCCTCGGGTTCAAACCCCGTCTCTACCAGTTTGGAGCTGTGTGACTGTGGGCGGGTTCTATGTTCTCTCCATGCTGTGACTTCCTTGCGTATAAAATGCAGGTAAGGACATGAGCCACTTCATAGGGTCATGAGGGCTTCATGAGATGTGTTGTAAGCTCAGCCGATTTCCCAGCACAGGAGAGTCCTCCATCAACGTTGGCCTGCATGATTCCTCTCCAGCCGGCCCCCTGCCCGCCCTCCTCTGCCCCACTGGTCTCTTCACTCACGCAGCCCAGCCCCGATGAATATCTTGTGAGCGCCTCCTCTGTGCCAGGCTGTGTAGGTGCAGGGGATACAGCCCCTGAAGATGGGCCTGGACCCTGCCTTAGGGAGCTCACCCGTGAGCACAGTGACTTCCCCCCAAATCAATACACACCAATATCACGATTTGTGACCAGCATTTTGAATGAAACAAATTGAGGGGACAGGCCAGGGAAGTGTGGGAGGGGGTCCTGCTTTGCAGGGAGGTCAGAGGTCTCTGCCACGGTGATGCGCGTGAAGCGGATGAGGGTTCCTGCCTCAGGCTTTGCCCGCTGCTACCGTCCCACTGCCAACTCCAGCCCGGCTTTGGGGCCTCTTCGGGGTGAGGCCTTGGAGAGGACAGCTTAGTCCACACCACTGCTGCCACGTTCTAATTTCCCACTATCTCCCTACGTGGTGCTATCCCCACTTTGTGCACACGTGTTCATGTATGTTTCTGTGGAACGTGTCTCTCCCAGGACTCTGATTGCCATGTGACAGCAGAAGCCACCACCAGAAGGTGCTCAAACCCAATGTGCTCCCTGCGGGTTTTTTCCTTCTCTGTAAGGTCTGGGCTGGTGGGTTGGCTGCAGGAACCTCCCTGAGCAGCAGAGGGGGAAGCGATGTTGATGGCCAGGCACCTGCTCACAGGGGAGGAGGCGTGGACAGCTGGCCACGGCTGGGCAGAGCTGTGTCCAGGCAGCTGCTCTGCATCCCTGCGCGTGCAGGTGCAGGGGCGGATGGCAGGCCCAGTCCAGGCGCAGGAACATGGATCAGTTACCCACTGTTACTGCTTGGGAGCGAACACAGACATGAGTTGGAGGGGATCCCAGAAAGTCTCACACTGCAGCCGAAAATCTTCATCTTCAAGACAGTCTCCCATAGGTTATTTCTATTTGGGGTTAACCCAAGCGAAGTAACTTTGGTAAAGAGGAAACCATAACGCAGTTTCTCTTCGAAGAGACAACTGAGATAGCAGATGCAAAGATAAAAATAACAACACAAAAAAAACGAAGGCTTCTCAAACTCCGAGAGAAACCAGATAGCACAGGCTGGCCATGGACTGGCCAGGAGGCTTAAATCCTGGCAAGAGACACAGAAAGAGCGGACTGAGAGGCAGGCCTGTGCCTGAACCCAGCTCTGCATTCTGGGTGTTGGGTGACGCTGGGCAACTTATTTCACTTTTCTGAAGATTCCCTTCCTTCATCTGTAAAATGACACTAACTTCTGTGCTGGCTGGGAGGCTATTCAGAGGCTCTGGCTTCCTGAGCCTCCTGGATGGGACCCTACCCCACCTGCGCCCGCCCGAGAGGGACTCGGCAGGCCAGGCTCCTCTGTGAGTTGGCAGCTGTAAGTGGAGGCAGGAGCACTGCCCCTCGAGGCAGCCGGACGCTGTCTGCACCCTGGCTCTGACACGTGTGACCGTGAGCCTTTCTGAGCCCGTTTCATCACCTGTAAGATGGGGGCTAAGGCACTAAACGTACCACCAGGAGAAGGCCAGGTGACCTTTAGTGCCTAGTCCCTGTCCTTCTCGTCCTTTCTCCCATGACCTTCAGGGGTTGCCCAGTCAGCCTGTCTGAAGCCCCCATGCCCACCCCACGAGATACTGGTCTAACCTGCACATTGACACTGCCCCCAGCCCCCAGCCCCGCAGCTTTCCCGGCTGTTGCTTGGGTCCCACCCAGAGGTTCTCATGTAACCTTGTTGGGGTGCAGACTGGCTATTGGGATAAACATTTTTTTAAACCGATTTTTAGAGAGGGAGGAAGTGAAAATACATTGATCAGTTGCCTCTTGCATGTGCCCTGATGGGGGGATCAAACCTGACACCTAGGTATGTGCCCTGACTCAGAACCGAACCTTGGACCTTCTGGTGGATGGGATGACACCCCAACCAACTGAGCCACACTAGCCGGGGCTAACCATCAGATTTTTAACGTGTGACTTTAAAAAGAAATTTTTTTAAATGGACTTTTCAGAGAGAAAGAGAAACAGCAATCAGCTGCCTCCTGCACGCCCTACTGGGGATCAAGCCGGCAATTGGGGCATGTGCTCTGACCTGGAACCAAACCAGCAGCCCTCTGGGGCACAGGTTGAAGCCCCAGCCAACTGAGCCACACCAGCCAGGGCTGACCATCAGGATTTTTAACAGGCCAACAAGGTTGACAACCACCAGAACGCTCTTCAAAGCCCCCAACTTGGCACAGGCCCAGCCCTTACCAGGGTCGGAGACACTGCAGGGGAAGATCAAATACAGGAGCAGAGCCAGTTGTCTCCTATTTAGTCAAGTGTTTCCATAAAGCTCCCAGTTTGCTTAAATAATTTGTGGCCATTTCTTCCCCGAAGCCTCAACTACTGTGCGCCTGAGGGCAGGGAACTAGGCTGCTCGTTAACTGCATGTGGGTGGCAGGAAGGGCTGAACCAGATCTGACAGGAAACACTGGCTGTGGGCTGGGCTCAGCCACAGAAGCTGTGTGGATGGGGCTGAGCCAGGCTGAGCTGGGACTGGAGTCCCAGGAGATGCTTCATGACTGAGTCTTGGTGCCTGGGCACTGGGCAGGGAAAACTCATTAGTGAGGCCGTAGCTTAGAGTCCACAGCCCTGCAGGCCTGTTTCAATGTGCTTCCTTTAAGCACTGCCATGGCTGCCTAGATTCATGTGATCGGAGGGCAGTGAGAGATCATCCATCCACCCACCCATATTCCCCTACCCATCCACCGTCCATCCTTCCACCATCTATCCAGAGCCAGGAGACCCGCTCTGGCTTCAGCTCCGCCAGTGCCGTGCTGTGAGGCTTTGAGTAAGTGCTTCCCCTCTCTGGGCCTTGGTTTCAACCACATAAAGAGAAGGGACAGAACTGGATGCTCCCCTGACAGAGGCCCCTCCCACTTGGATGCACTAGCTGTCACCTCTGGCTTGGCAGGAAGGTGGCCGAGGGTCTTGTTTTGCCGCCTCCTGCCTGGGGGCTGCCAGCCACCGCCTGGCTGCGATCTGGGCTCCGGCACATCAGCTGAGCACAGACACCGAGGTTTCTGAATCAGACTGCCTGCCGCTTCCCGTGAGGCCTCAGACAAATGAGCGCCCTCCTCGAGCCTGGGTTTCTATCTGAAACAAGGCTGCTAACATGGCCCTAATTCCAAGGCGCTGAGAAGAGTTATGGGACGGGTGTGCAGTGACCGATGGGGCCGGAGCTGTCTGTGGTTCCCCGGCCAGCGCCCTGTGGGGGAGGGACGGACAAGGCCTGGCACTCGGGCCTGTGTGAGCACGGGGGGGGGGGGGGGCGGAGGGGGGCGAAGGACCGTGAAGGTGCTGTCTTACCGTCAAGGCTTCGTAGTACATGTCTTTAGCCTCCGTGTCTGTCTTGGCTGACATCAACCAGGATTTGATCAAATATTCATAAAAACTGTCCCCGAGTCCTCCAACCGAGACGTGGTCTGTGAGGGGAAAGCAGACAGAACATTCTCTCCGTGGCCGAGGCGCGGCGGGGCGCGGTGGAGCGCGCATCTTGCCCACTGGGCTCGGGCGGAGCAGCATCTCATCAGCAGCCCCCCAGCCCGGAGCAGCGGCTGAGGGAGAGACGCAGCCTGCGACGCGGGAGCCAGGCCTTCCCAGCGCAGTGGCCCTGCACACAGGTGCGGGGGCTCCGCCAGGGCTATAAATCATGTCGCCATCGCAGGCCGAGGACGGCAGGGCCTCTGTTATTAACTGGAAATGAGCTGCATTTCTTTAAAAAGATAATCTGGCGGCAGGGAGTGGAGATTTTTATTACCTGGTGACAAACATGGTAATTAATGCTGGGAAGGTTCCTAAAAGACCATGAAGAGGAGGAAGGAGAGGCTTGATTTAGGCGGTCAGGGTACAGAGCCTTTCTGGAAAAACTGAGTTTAAATTTAGCAAATTGGGATGAATGGAGTTCCAAGGAGCAGGGGAGGACAAATGGGATTTGAGGACGCCCCTCTCTGCCTGGTGGCATCGCCCGAAGTCCCCACGGAGCAGGACCTCCATGCTGTCATTGAATGAGGAGGCATCTCCACCCCGGGCTGTCCTGGGAGAAAAATGGGGTGACCAAGGAACCACAGAAGCCAGACATGGACAGAAAACACTCACGTGCTTTAAACAGTAACAACGGGAAACATAAAGGCATTTGATGACAATGCAGAGCAAACGTCACTTCCCTGCTAGGATCCACTTAAGCAGGGAGAGGGGAAGGGGGATGGAGTAAGGTAGGGTGGGTGGAATGGGAAGAATATTTTCAGCTCCTTTGCAGAAACGGTAAAAAGAGAAAGAAATAGAGAATACACTGACAGCTACCAGGTCCATGATGGGCTAGGGGTTTTGTTGTATTATTATTTTTAAAAAAATATATTTTATTGATTTTTTTACAGAGAAGAAGGGAGAGGGATAGAGAGTTAGAAACATGAATCAGAGAGAAACATCGATCAGCTTCCTCCTGCACACCCCCTACTGGAGATGTGCCTGCAACCAAGGTACATGCCCTTAACCGGAATCGAA